GAGACCATAAGAAAGACCTGATAATCATGTCTACTCTAATTGATACAAGATGAAGGGTAAAGTCACATATTAAAGTTATTTTACCCCCAAAGCTGATGAGTAATATGACCAAGTATAGTCTCACACGGTTTCACTAAGCAAAAGCTATCTCCTCTAAGCTGCCACTTATATCCTCAGATACTTCAACTTTGGGTTCCAAATCTATAAATTGGTTCGACTTGCTAGCCAGGTGAGAAATGCTCACACGACCCTCACGTCTTATGTAATCGGCAACAGCTCTCATTTCTTCCAACGAGATGTAAATGTATTTTCCTCTATCGTCCATCACACCAGATAGCCTTCCTGTAGCCAGAACAAAACATTTATCCATTTAATGCCTTCCCGTAAAGAAAATGGATGCAAAACATACAACAAAAGGGGCTAAACTTGTGATAGGGAGAAATGAGGATATACCCATGGATTCTAGTGACGTAATCCGATTGATACAATCCTGCATTGAATGAAAAAACATACTTCTTGCATCAGAAATCGGAATGGGGCATAAAAACTGCACTTTCTGAAATTTCACAAAGCTGCCCTGGATTCTTAGTCTAAAACGTCTGTTAGAATTATAAACACGGGCTTGAGGATTTTATTTGCATCAAAGATAACTTTCCTCTCAAGGATTTTATTTGCATCAAAGATACTTCCCTCTCAACTCACAGATCAGAAATTTATTTGTAACTTATAGAGAAAGAGAGGTGCTTTGGTGATGTAAGAAACATTAAAACAAAAACTTGGTCTGTTTACATTTTATTATATATCATTGATAAATGTGAATAATTACGCCTACAAGGTACCTGAGTTCGCAACTTAAACTCTGCCGCAATATCTTCCAGGGGAACACATTTATGCTTCTGCAATGTCAAACCAATAAAATATAAATAAAAATTGAGATATATATCCTCTTAAATGTCACGTATATTTCCACCAAATAATGGCATTAACGTCAAATACCATTATCCTTCATACGAGAAAATTGAGCATAAATTTAGTTTCTGTAAAACACAACTACCAAAAACACGAAATCGATCCGGAAACAAACATGAGGAAAAAGAAGGGTCCTACTAGAATCAGTGAATCACCTTGATGTACTCGACAAAATCATAGAGCAGCCCCTGGCTTCCATCCTGGACTTCATTTTCTGTTGTCCCCTCAGCGTCAACAGAAAAATCTCCTTTCCATTTTTCGAAATCTAAAGCAGCAGCTTCTTCCTCCTTTGCTTTCCGAGCTAGAGCTTCTTCTTCCTGGATAAAATTATAACAAACACTTTCTCACAAAGTCATTAAACATTTCATACATCCAACACAGTCACAAATTTTGTATGATACGAACCAGCTTTCTTTCTTGAGCTTCACGCTCCTCGTCCTTCCTCCTCCTCATCTCCTCATAACGATCTTGTTTTGTTCTCCTCGACTCACGGGCAGCATCTTCAGCCTTCATGATAAGTCAGTATATAAAAAACTCAAACATGAAACATTCTCAAATGCCACAAAATTTTATAATATCTTTTTTTCAATATCCATGGAAGTCGTCCCAAACAATGTTTTAGGCATGATATTAGTCAATTATAGAATCTACGCACAGGTTTGGGATGTGAAAAATGAAAATTGAGGTTGTTTAAAAAGTTTAAACAAGCTTGCAGAAGATGAGAAAAAAAATTATAAAATGGACATTGGTGAGACTGAGAGGATTCACAAAGAATCATGCCGGAGTTACATAGATGTTGACACACTTAAAAAAAATAATAAAAAAAAAAGATTTCACAATACACGCCTTTTTCTGTTCACAACACATCATTCATAAAAATCAACCACTATCAGGATCAATTACATCAAACTTGTAGGTCAATCTTTTTATGTCAAAATAGAAATTTTCATCAAAAGATGGGCTAGATGTACTATCATTAATGCAAAACGTGTTTGCACTTTACAAATGGGCTTCCATGACTAAGATAAGTTCACCCGTTCGCCTGGGAACACTAAAACTGCAGAATAAAACCATCTTTTTCAATCCTAATGGTAGATGAAATATATATACAGCTTTCTATGATGTTTACTACTCCTTTCGAGATTAGGTTTTTCATTCAATGGCGAATTCAAAATAGAAAATACTGTAGAAGTAACTAAAGATTAAAGACAAAATTTAAGATTAGCACACCACACTCAACACACATACACACAAAGACAGAGAGGAACAACCAACAACAGGAAACATTAACCTGACGTTGTGCTTCACGCTCTTGTCTTTTCTTTTCCTTCTTCTTTGATGCTTTAGCTGCGTAGTACCCATCTTCTTCATCCTCACTTCCATCAAAGGTCTCTGAGTCCAAAATAATTAGAACTCACATTCATCCTATATTTTATTTCTTTCTCTCTATTTCCCTTAAAACTCACATTAAACTAGTAAAATTATCTTGCCATGTTTGGATTCTTACTTAAGTTCGATAACAGATCAGTACTGCAGAATATGGTAGACTGAAGCCAAACTACGCAATCAAATTATCGAAAATGCAAATAGAATTAATTTCAGTCAGGGTAGAACAAAAAACCTTCCGCATTAGGGGCAGCTGATGATGAGCTAGCGGCCGAAGAAGCTGCAGGTCTTCGACGCATACGGCGCGCATTACTAGCCCTAACAACTCTTTCCCTTTGTATCTCCTACAAAATCCTCCCAAAACATTAAAGAACAAACAGTTGAAGGAATGTCATTTTTGAAGACCCAACAAAAGTAACAGTTTCTTAAATATAGAAGATCACATAGGCTACAATAATCCCTTTGCATAACTTACAAAACCTAAGATTAGACAAGAAAACATTGATTTAAAAGAAGAAACTCAAATTTCTGGGCACATTGAAGATCGCATATCGTAATCAATTTCAAATAAACCGAAAAGGGCGATGTTTATGTACCTGCGGCTCTTCATGGTGTTGGTGATGATGGCGAGAATCAACCCGGCGTCTCCAGAAATAGAGTGGTACCAAAGAGAATACCAAAATCATCATTATCACTGCCACGAGTATGTCCTCCATTTTCCAATCTAAACTCGATTTTCGAATGAATCACAAAGCTCTACCGGCGGCGACACTACGTATCTTGCGAAAATTGACGGCAGCGGCCGATTTTTAGGCGTTAATAGTCCTCCAATTCAATTAAGATGGCGAGCAAAAAAAATTACAGAAACGCGAAGCTGTAGTTTTAAGAGTATAACCCTATACCAATTGCCAAGCTTCGTCTCGTTACATTGATTTAAGAGAAAATTACAAATTTAGATGGAAATAATGTTCCTTTTATTTATTTTTATTTTTATAATTTCAAGGATCTTTATATTGAGCCACTTATTTCGATCAATAATGGGATTGTTGGCGTCAGTCAAGAAAGGTTCTAAGGCTTAGTTTATTGGTGACCCAAACATTGGGTCGCCCCCACACTTGATATATTTACGAATAAAATTATAAGTTGTAAATAAATTAAAATAAAATAAATATTTAGGTTGAGTGAGGTTGGAGATAAAGATTTATTGGGTTGGAAGATTAAGTTGTGTATGTGGAAGAGAGAGAAATAATTTTTAATTATTATATTGGGTTGGGTTGAGTTGGGTTGGGGATAAGGATAGTCTAAGAAGCCCCCCTCCCCCCCCCTGAATTCGCCGTTGCCTCCCCTTCGCATGCGCCGCCCTGCCGCGACGGTGGCTTCACTAGGGGGCGGG